ATTAGAAAAAACTATTTTGCAGCCCTTGGTGTAACCATTGATTCAAGCAATGGTCATCAATGGATATCAAACCACTTGTTAAAATGTGAGGAAAACAGGATATTCAACATTCATCAAAGTATTAACCCACAGATTATTTCTCACTGCCAAAGGAAAACTCCAGCTGTCAATACCTTAATCAAGTGCTCAAAATTAGTATCATCAACAGTGGGACAACCTGACTTCATGTGCCTCTTGATTTGAAGCAATTAGAAATATACAATCCCCATAGCCTATGACATAGAATTCTATATAAGTATTCAGGTCAAAACATTTATCTTTGTAAGTAACATGAAGAAACAGTAAGACATTTTCAGAATGTGGTCAAGGATAAAAAACAAATGGCCTGTACTCTTAAAAAAATGAAAAAGAAAAACAAACCAAAAAAAAAAAAGAATAAAAAACCAAATTAATGGTTAAGTAAATAATGTGTGTGGAGTTGTCAATTCTACATTGAGAGACTAAGAAGACCAAACAACCAAATACAGTGCACAAAACTTAATTGGATTTCAAATTAAAAAGAAAAACACACATAAAAAAACAAAAAAAACCAACAACAAAAAAGGACAGCTATAAAATATTTTGGGAACAATGAGAAGATTTGAAAGCAGCATATATTGAATTAAGTGATATTTAGATATGAAAGTTGTGCTTATGTACCAGAATCTCTATTTTTCAGGGATGTCTATGAAAGTATGTAAGAGTGCAGTGTCATGAGATCTCTAAATTCGTTTTCAATAGTTCAGAAAAAAATGTGTGTATATATATAAACATGTGTCTGTGTATGGGTGATGAAGCACATATTGCAAAAAGTTAAAAATTGGTGGAATTAAATGGCAGATATGCGGGTATAGACTGTACTACTATTTCACACCTGATGCATATTTGAAAAAAAATATTAACTAAAGCAAAAATGTAACCCAAACAAAAGATTAGCAGCTTCTTACCTGTTGCAATCTGTGCCCCTGCCAGCCTGGCTCTTATTAAGCCATGTCTCTCTTTGAGGTGGAGAATCCGAACTTTTGGAAACTGAGACATGTATTTATCCAAATTATCTTTTAGGTAATCTATATCAGAGTTTAAGAACAGACAAGAAAACACTTAATTAACTACATCTGGATAATACCAGAAGTAGTGCCTTCTCAACATCAAACTCCAAAAACTATGATTTTAAAAAAAAATTAAAAATTTTTTAATTACAGTAAACAAATGATAGTATATTAGGTTCAGGTCTACAACATAGTGATTAGACATTTATATAAGTTACAAAGTGATCACCCCATAAGTCTAGCACACACCTGGCATCATACATAGTTAGTACAATATTGACTATATTCCCTATGCTGTACTTTATACCCCTCATTTTGTAACTACCAATTTGTACTTTTTAATCTCGTCATCTTTTTCACTCTGATCCCCAACCCTTCTCCCCTCTGGCAACCATCAATTTGTTCTCTATATCCATGTGTTTGTTTCTGGGTATTTTTTGTTCATTTACTTTGTTTTTCTAAGATTTCACATATAAGTAAAATCATATGGTATTTGTCTTTCTCTGTTTGACTTATTTCATTTAGCATAATACCCTCTAGGTAACACCCATTTTATTCCTTGGACCATGATTTTATTTTATGATATCATTTTCTTGGATGAAATTTTGTCTGGGTTCAGTACTTAAGCTGTCCATTTTCTTAAATCCCAAGCCTTCTTTTCAGTGTTGCCAAATTACACAGAGATGGATTCACCTTCTCTGCATATTTGTCAGTACAGTAGTGAATTTACCTTGAAATAAAAGAAAGTGAAGTTTTTGCACAGCTTTCCTCCTTTGCAAAAGCCCTTTCTAAGACCCAAGGAAAAGGCTAAGCATTGTATGCAAATTGAAAAAATTACAAAAGAAAGATATTGCAACTGCAATTGGTTAAGAACACCATCACTTCCCACTGTGTCATCCCCCCTCCATCGCAACCTACCCTATCTTGTTGAATGGCCAAACAGGAATCCAGCTAAAGGAACATTTTTTTTGTGGTCTTATGGGTATACTGATGTGGCTTTCAGTTACTTCTATGTGCAATTAAGCTATTGACAGCTATCTCAGACAGGAACGGCTTTTAGGAATACCCCTGCAGCTCACTTTCCTACTAATTTTGTGTTGTTTTTCTTAGAGATCCCATAGAAGCTTCAGGTCCCACAAAATCTGGGTATGCCATTTTTAAAGGGACTGTTATCTGCTTGGTAACTGCATACTATTTCTTTTTATGCTTTCTAGGCCATGTCTTAAAGTTTTCAACTAGTCTTCCTTAGGCATCTCACTATTTCTGTAGCTCAGTGTGATCCTGGTTGGGACTCTGAGGCTGAGGACAGTGGCTGTGACTGGGGTCATGATCAAGGATAAGCTGCTCGATTAAGGTTGCCATCTCTGCTATTTTCTAAAATTTTTGGAAGTAGGTTGCATTTTGGGAATTCACAATGTGGTAGTCATGAGAACTCTGACAATCATGGGACCACTTACATACAAAGAATTACATTCTTTGACAATCCAAAAAGAGATTCTCCTCTGTAACAAACAAAACAAATGTAAAGACCAACCACGGCAGATTCTGCCTTTGAACTCTGTTAGAATCTCATCTCTCTAGTCCCATGACAATTTGTCTTCACAACACTTAACTGAACACGTAATTGCTTTGCTCTTGAGGAAGAAGCCATAGGCCTTCCATTTCTTTGTTTTCCATTGAGTCTAACTCTAATTCTAGTTATAGGGAAGACATCTTGTTAATTGTGGGGTATTTGCTTATTAGAACCCATGAAAAGATATTTATGCAATTGTAGAAAACATCTTCTGGTTTTTGGAACTTCAAAGCGCCCATGCCCAATGAGCTATAGTTAGAAACTATCACTCCTACATAGCAGAGAAGCCACAGCTGAAAAAAGGTTTGAGGTAGCTAGCTTGAACAGGGATCTGGATGATAGAGCTGACTTTCTGTATTCCATAGACGCTTGGACTCAAGCCTCTAAAGCACTGCATGGAACAATGATTTGGCATTTGTAAAATGTTTATGCTTTACCAAATTACCCTGTATATTTGCCATTCATCTATACTGCGGTGGCCTCATATCAACTTCGATTTCTCAGGAGTGGTGATCTTACCTTTGGTGCTGAAGTCATCCACCAGCAGAATCTCCTTGATGAGGTGTGGAGGAGAGCGATTGAGTACACTGTGAACAGACCTCAGGAGAGTGGACCACACCTCATCCACAAAGCATATGATGACACTGGTGGTCGGCAGGTTATTGTGAACTAACTGTTGTGCACACCTGGGCCGGAACACAAGCAGAGCATAAGCGATGGGCTAACAAGATCCACAGGATAGTTTTTGAAGTTACAGACTGTGATTGTGTGTTTATATACATTCTATCTTATCTATCCATCCATCTACCTATACATGTCAATTATGATTGTATCATGTGCTGTTTCTTGGAGAGGGGTGTAAGCAAAATAAAAGAGCAGAGGAAGAAAAACCAGTAACAGTTATTGCTATGAAAGGACCAGCGATGCAAAACATGAGAACTTCCTGTGGAGGCATCACACACTGTAGTGGAAAGGACATGGACTTCTCAGGAGCTTAGTCACTGTTTTGTACCCCATCACCAATATTTCTTAGATCTTTATTCATTGATACCTTATTTAGTCTCTCTGTGCCTCAGTTTTCTCATCTATAAAATGAGGTGATGGTTCGTATTCAACTAAGTTTTACAGCCTAGTGAGAATGCACATAAAATGCCTAGCTCAGTTTCTGGCATAGGAATTGACCAATGGGAGCTTTTGTGATTCTAATTAGATTATATAGCACAAGAGAACATTCTTTCTGAATTATTTAATGCTACCAAGTAGTTTCTGATTGCCCTTCCAAGTGGCCTTATGCCAAGTGCCAAATGAAATATTATTTCTTCCACTCTGCACATAAATATATTTATCGAGATCATATATACAGAGGGTGCCAAAAATGTATATACATTTTAAGAAAGAAAAAAAACTATATTAATGTATACCAATAACAAAAGATGAATACAAGTCATGTTTGACTTCTGCAATTATAAGAGGTGCTCAGAGTGGCTACCGTCAGCATCCAGACACTTGATCCAGACACATGACAAACTACTGCTTGAGCAACGTTGACCAAAGTGTTAACATCTTTTAAAATGTGTATATATTTTTTTGGCACCCCTGGCATATACCAAATAATTAAACTCTTCAGGTTCTCTGTCTATTTGAGGATTCTTCAGAGTAGCCACAGCTAAAATCACTTTGCTGGTATAGAAATAAGAAGGCGGCTACAGTGGGAGTTGGTATTCAGGTGGGTTTTAATTGGTCTTTTTTTTTTCCAATGCCCTGCAGTGAATACTGCCTCATTGCTGGCATTTTTCCATCTTCTTCCTGTTACTCTTTACAGGATGGTGCCCAGTGGAGCTTTACAAAGAATATTTGCTATCCTTCAACACAGCTACTGGTAGTAATGTAATAATTAAATCAAGTAGATATTATAGGCACTCTGAATTATTTCAATTCAAACCTCAAACCAACAGCATCCCTTCCTCTTTTTATAGAGAAATAATTGAAATCATGGGGAGATTAGTCCACGATTCTACTGTAGTAAATGGCAGAGTTGGGACTCAAACTCTGGTCCAAGTCTGGCTCCAGAAATAAACATTCAGGAAGTCTTAAGTCCACAAGGATAAAAGCAGCTAGCAGTAAATGTGACATTTTGTGGGTAGCAGGCTCTTCTGCCAGGTAATATAGTTATGCTTTACTTAGTTCATAAATAAGAAATAGATATGAATAAGAACCATAGTAAAACCACATTTTCACAGGACTTTATAGTTGGTAAAGTATTATTATGTACATGGTTAAATTCAATCTTTGTAACAACTGCATGAGATATATATTATATATGTTTCTTCAAACAGAGAAAACTGAAGCTTGAGGAGTTAAGTGGCTTACCCAACATTATTCACCTAGAAATGATGTACAGTTGGCCCTTGAACAATGCAGGGGTTAGAGGGATGACCCCAGTGCAGGGGAAAAGCCACTTATAACTTTGAGTCTACAGTCTGCCCTTCGCATCCATGGAGTCAGGCAACCATGGTCTGAAAACAGTATTTTCTATCTGTAGTTGGGAATCCTCAGTTGGGAATACGAAAATACTGTTTTCAATCCTCAGTTAGTTGAATCTATGGATGCGAAACCCAAGGATATGAAGGCCAAATGTACCTATTGAAAAAAAACCAAAACACCCCGCGTATTAAGTGGTTCCTCACAGTTCAAACCTGTCTTGTTCAATTCAACTTTTTTTTGAGAAAGATGACACATCTATTATTTCTCTTAATGGGTTAAGTGCCCTCTCTACCTGTCAACAAAAGGTTGGTTTACTTTGAATTAACAGAATTATTAAAGCATGGAAATACACTTCTTTTTTTTTTTCTTACTACATTTGGAACATCTTTGAAGTGTAGGAATTTACACATTGAAGACCATGAAAGTGTTGATTAGTGATATCAAATTATGAATTCTAATATTGAAACTCAATTATAAAGAAGAAAAATAATTAGAAAATGAGAGGAAAGAATAAGAAATGAGGGGTTTCTAAACATTAAATAAAATATTATAGTATGTAGTTGCATAATTACCAACAATTCCAGCAATTGAAAATAATTTTGGTATTAGGCAAACTTCAAACTCCAGAATTTTTTTTTTTACAAAGCAAAATATTTCTAATGTGAGTCCAATTCTCAGCATCTCTAATGGTGACCATCAAAGACCAGAGGTGATGAGATTAAAATTCTCCAAGCAGGGAACAGGTTGGCCTAGAGCAGCTGCTCTCAACCTATGGGTCGCGACCCCTTTGGGAGTCGAGCGACTTTTTCAAAGGGGTCGCCTAAGACCATCGGAAAACAAAAAGATATTTACATTATGATTCATAACAGTAGCAAAATTACTGTTATAGAGTAGCAACGAAACTAATTTTATGGTTGGGGGTCACCACAACATGAGGAACTGTATTAAGGGGTTGTGGCATTAGGAAGGTTGAGAACTGCTGGCCTAGAGTATAATGAATTTAAAGTAAAAGTTTGATGAGGGAGTGGAGACTATTTTGTAGACTATTTTGGGAGGAAACCTAGAAAGTAAAGAGGATAGATAGGTGGGATGTCATCCCCATTCCCACTCCCTCTCCCCAGTAGGAAGGGACAGAATCATATTTATGGCTTTCAGGGAAGCTACAAATAGAGTTGAAAGTTGAAAGAATCAGTAATTTGATAGGATTATTGGTGGAGTAAGCTCTCTCTTCTTGCATCAATCAGCCTTAGAGTGGCAGCAGTTGACTCAATTGACCAGTCTTGCCTCCTTGAGCCTCTCTGCCTCTCTCTCTCTCTCTCTCTCTCCCCCTTTCCCCATCTCTCCATTTTTCTGTCCCATGAAGCACTACACTCTTCTGGCTTTCACCCCTCACTCACAGGCTTTCCCCCTTCAGCTTTTCCCTCTTCTTCTTAACCTCTAAACAGAAGATTCTCAGAGCTGGGTCCTAGTTTTCTTTTATGTACTGTCACATAGGATCTCATCTATGCCCACAGCTTTATATATTATATCTTCCAAATATATATTCCAGTTGGATTTCTTTCCTGAGTTTCAGACTCATATATCCAATCAAATACAGGAAATCTCCCCTGGATGCCTCACAGCAGTGGAAATCTTGATTTCACTCTACCCACCTAACCAGTTCTTCTGCATTTCCCCTCTTCATTAATGGCACCATCACCTACCTTGCTGTAGAAATGTAAATGTTTTCCTTGATTCACCCTCTTCCTGACTGTCATAAAACTGATCTCTCATTAACTTCTGCCCATTGTATTGCCAAAATATATCTCAACTCCAACTTTTTACCTGCATAGATGCCACCTCTAGTTCGGGAGCTCCCTCATCTTCAGAATTATTGTTGAAATCTCTTAACTAGACTCTGTCTTCTCACTCTTTACCACATCCACACACTCTCCTGTTTAAAATCCTTCAGTGATTCCTGTGGGATAAAGGAAAGAAAGGAAGAAAAGAAAAGAAAAGAAAAGAAAGAAAGAAAGAAAGAAAGAAAGAAAGAAAGAAAGAAAGAAAGAAAGAAAGAAAGAAAGAAAGAGAAAGAAAGCCAAAATCTTTACCACAGCCTAAAGGACCCAGTGTGATATAGCCCCTGGCCATCTCCCCAGCTGCTTATGGGTCACACATCTGTACTTTCACATACTTCATCTAGCCACATTGGCCTTCTTTTAGTTTCTTAAAAGATGTTAAACTCCTTCTAGCTTTATTGTTCCTTTGACTTCTAAAACTACTTCCACCCCCATCCCCCCGCCACCCCCCCAACATTCATGGCTGGCTTTTTCTGTTCATGTAGGTCTTAGCCTAAATAGTGCCTCCAAAGAAAAGCCTTCTCTGACTATTCTATTGAAATTTAGAATTTCTTACTCTGTCTTATAGTCACCTGTATTTCTGCCATAGCATTTATTGATTGATTTTTATTTCCTTATGTTCTGCATCCATAATTTCCCAAGGGCAGAACAAATTTGCCTCACTTACTACAGTGCCACAACATCTAGCATACGTGCACATAATAAATATTTAATAAAAATGTATTGAGTGAATGAATGAATGGAGAGGGAATGGAGCTTAAATCAAAAGCTTAAATGGTGGAAAAAGAGATAATTTCCTTTGAGAATGGAAGAAAAAAGTGGTAATGTGTACAAATAAATTTATGTGTCTGGGATGAGAAGTTGAAAGGATTTGTAGTTCATGCTGGAGGTAAGGTTATTTCCTAATATACTAGGATAGGGGCTTGAGAAGCATGGAGAACATCTGGGACAGACAGTATGAACAATGGGAGAAAGGACTGGCCAACTACCATAAAAAGGTTTTCAAGCACTTTCTTGAATTTGGGGATCCCAAAATTTTAGTCAGAATATAAGTATGATTTCCTCGATCAGTGTCTGGCAGCCTGGGTGTAGGGAGGAGATAAAGCAGATTGTTGTATTAATCCATGTCCAGGGGTTATCAGAGCAAATGACATAGAAAGAAAAGTGGCAGAGGATTTTGAGGGTACTGGTGTAAAATGGTTACATGTTCAATCATGGGCTTTCGGTTGGGAAAGAGGAAATAAAGCTAAGAGGAGTTTAATAGCCTGAGTGAAATGGAGGGTACTGACTTCCTATGACTTTTTCTTCTCTAACTTTACAATGTAAATGAATGGGAAATGCACATTTCACACATAAATATCCTT